AAAATTGTTGCTATATTTGTCCCTTGTAGCTTTAAATGTTAATGTGTTTTTTCATCTGAAGCTGGGTATCGTCTTTTGTTTTATTTTTCCACTGCAGCTGCTCTGTAGTTTGCATGTTCTCTTTTGTTCTTGATCATGTATCTGGCATATTTCATGTTCGAGTATCACTTTGAACTACCTCATCATGTTCTCCCCCAGCACATTAAAGAAATTTCTATTATTTTGTTTGTGTGTGCATAGTGTGTGTTACAGTCTGTGAAGAGAGGACAGATAACTGTTTCAAAGTGGCGGTTTACTACTTCCAAGACCTGAACTCAAGCAGCCAGGTTTGCATGGCAAGTGCCTTTATCCAGTGAGTCATGTCACGGCACCCAGTGTAGCTTTTTGACTTTATATATAAAACAAGTCATTGCGCATGCACTTAGAATTTGAGAGGAACAGTATTACGTTATCTGTAGAATGGAGTTTGGTGTCAGACTAGAATTCTGTTTGCTTGCTGCTTGCTAGCTATATAAATATGAAGGACTGACTGCATGCATGCTTGTGAGTGTCAGCTTTCTCCACTGTAAGTCTGAGTTTAGAAAAAACTCTAACTCATATGGTTATTGTGAAAACTGCAAGAGCTGATATGTACAAGGTGGCCAATCCAGTGCTTGAACACAAACATCTTTTAGGAGAGTTACATTATTGTCATAACTGGCAAGGATTTATGGTTCATCAGTTCTAATCCCAACATCATAAATGAGGAAGCTGAAGTCAGAAAAGCCAAATAGTAGAGCTGAAGCTCCCTAGATATCCTCAGATGGCATATTCAAGGCCTTCTCATTTGACTTAATTGCAAAGGCACAAGGTATTTTACTATGGCAGGGGAACTCCAATGTCCCTCCTTCAAAATATGATGATACATAAACATTGTGAAACTAATTACTTCCAACTGCGCTTATTGACTCATAGACATCTAAGGCTGGGCTGAGCTTTATCATTCTAAGTTGTCTACTTTCTCTTCCTTCTCCTCCTCCCCTACCTCCTTCTCCTTGGTCTTTACTTATTCTAAGAAGAGGGTACCCCAGTTCAGTCCTTCTCAGTGTTCACTACAAAAAGCTACAAGATCATAGGAATTATTCATGAAACTGAATATCTATTCTTGCAATACAAATAGTTCAGAAAATTTTTTTCACCTGATATTAAAACTTACTGATATTTGAACTTTACATTTCCAGTGGTGGTTATAAACCGCCTCTGTTAATCAGTGTGATTTGTATCTAAAACCGAATGATTTGTATCTAAAACAGGATAACAGAATGATGATTCTACTATTTATTTAATAAGTACCTAACTATATGAAGTCTGTGCTGTTTGATGGGTATTAATCTTCACAGGAAACATGAAAATTAAGAATCACTATTCTCATTATAGGTAATAAAACAGAAATTATTATAACATTTAATTGGTCAAGACATAAAAATTAAGGAAGGTTGCTAAGAAGCTCTTTCTAATGCTGAAGGTCATGTCTCTGAAATTGAAATGAACTCAGGCCTTGTGGCCTCTGTGGGGCTGGAGAGGAAAACATTTTGGTGCCCTCTAGAGGTGATCAATGATGTGCACCTGTCAAATCCCAAATATGGGAGAAGTTGAAGACCAAGGAGCAGGTGCTGTCTGTAGTTCATTACCTCTTTCTTCTCCATACTTAGGTGGATCGGATGCTACCCTGGAGTAGCTCCAGATCAGAGATTCTCAGACTTTAGGGAGAATCAAAACCAGTTGGTGGGCTTGTTAGTATGTAGACTTCTGATCTCCACTCCCTGAATTTCTGATTCTGAGGTACTGACTGAGAATCTACATTTTCAACTACCATTCCTGGAGAATCTGAGGCTACTTATGCAGGGTCCATACTATGAGAATCACTGCTGTAGAGAACCAAGAGAAGAGACGAAAAGCTCTTGGCTTTTCAGAACACTCACAGTGCTTTAAACGACAGCTTCCACTGCGTCCTGGGAGGCCCACAGGGTGACCTCTCTTGAAGATATAGAGATTCATTGAACCCCAAGAGCTTCAAGGGACCTACAGATACATTTGGGTGAAACAGAACCAACGGAGGCTTGAGGCCAGGGAGCTCAGATTCGAGTTGCCCTTTAAGGTGCTGTACCCTCACTGAAGGTAAACATTTCTTGGGTGAGGAAGGAAAACAGGAAATGCCCACAATCACACACTATCAAATAGCTTGGTATTGAGAAAACATGAGGTTAACGTTAAGTTCAGTCTTAATTTTTGTGGGTAGTTAGATTCCATATCCATGTTTCCAATAAAAAAAACCTGTAAGAAAATTAGAACATGAAGCACACTTTAAAACAAAGGAATAATAGTAGATGAAAGCTTTTAAACCCAAAGAATTGTTCTATGGTGTTTTACATATTTGATCAATTCCATCAATGCTACCAACATTTAAAGAAACCAACTACAAGTTTTACTAATATTTACCTCCCTCTTACACAAATTCTCTTTCTATACTCCCTTTACCCATGTATCCCAACTGTACAACCTTTTGATCTCACACTGCACTTTTTTCACTGTATGGATTCTTAAGTGTCTATTTTCTTCTACCAATAGGATTTCCTCTCAAGATAATGGGAGACTTGAATGCTGACTGTAGTGGATTCCACTTCTGCTTAATCCAGGTCAGGATTTATGGAGTCCTCGTGTGGTGACCAAAAGCACCACAGAAGGCTTTCTTGGGGCTGGCTGCATCAGTCAAAATGAAACTCAGAACTCATTTGGGAGCAATATAGCCCAGGGAGAACTAGGCCTTAGAGCTAATGTCAGGGGAGCATTTAAGACCTGCAGCAAACATCTAGTAATACTGACAGAATGTAGTAATGTTTTTAAAATTGAGAAGCTTGGTCACTCATGTATGTTTCTCAACAGAATTGGTAATGCCCAACAAGTTCACCAGCCATATCTCTCAAAAATTACTTACAGCCTTACTTTTTCTTCATAAAATACATCGGACATATTTTCTTATATAAATTTGCATCAAACTAAAAATATGTTTCCATAGGTATATTGCTATGAATAGTATTCTCAGCTTAGTTTGGTCTTATACAGAATGAAAACTAAGTCAGAGAAAGAGTATCCAACCTGAGCTCACACTGTAGCATCTCATTCATCAAAAGTGCCAGTGATATTATGTATGAATATTTTGAATGGGGATGATGTAGTTGCAATTAAAATACATGCAGAGTAATGATGTCCTGTAGTGGAAACGTAGAACACAAATGGATCTTGCTCCCAGTGAGGTGAAGTATCCAAGTTGTGGCAGTGAAAGAATTAGTGTATAAGCAAACATATCTTAATCACATAATTTATTGCTATAAAGAGAATCCACTGGTGTGTGTGTGTGGGGGTGATCCTTTCTCAGTGACATTTTTGTATCTGACACAAGTTTTGTGTCTCAAGTCTCAACTCACAAGGAAGCATAAGGAAAGCTTCTCCTTTCTCCTCCTCAAGGAACTTACATAATAGACCTTTAAGCTAACATCTAGAAGGACGAAGGAGTGAATGAATGTTAAGTGTTTTGAAGACTTTAAAAGCATGAGACCATAGAAATCAATAGCATAAAAAAAGGGGGCTCCAGTTTAGTTTTTCGGGGGACACCATATCCTGTGGGATGTCCTTCTAAGGGGCTTGGGTGTGGGGCAGGGAAAATGACTTCAGCAGAGGATTACTCTTGAAACTAGGCATCAAGTAAGGTGCTGGAGGGATTTCAGGTTGAATATTCTTGAAGGAATTATCAGGACATCTACTAAATGTCACGTGTATTATTAAATGCTAAAATGAACTGGGTAGATGATGTGTTCAAAGGAGGGTGCAGCAAATATACAAATTATTACTTTACTGTGAAACTGACTTTAGGTTGGGGGCTTGTAGAAATTCTTCCAAAAGCCTACCAGACAGGAATGAGACTAGGGGAAAGAAGCGTTTTAAAATCAAGCAAAGGAGCTGACTCATTTAGATGTCATTTCAAACCTACAGTGGCACTGGTTTCTGCTGAGAGGGAGGGAGAATGGTAGCCATTGCCAGACATCACGCTGGAGAGAAGAGGAAACAAAGAAATTCTCTTTCAAAACAGTGGGGGAAAATATCCAGAATGGCCCTGAAATAAAGGAAACCTGGCACAATGAGTGTTGCTAAGGGTTTATTTTCCTTTGCTTTTGCCTCTTAGTCGAGTAAAACCACACAGACATGGTCAAACCCTTGGAGTTGTAGGAGTAAAAACCACACATACAGTCCCTTGGAGCTGTCTCCTGAACAACGTGTTTTCAAGTATATCATTATAAAGAAAGGGTTAACGGAAGAGGGGGACTTGGAGATGGGAAGGCAAGCAAGGTTGAAAAACACTATGTTCCAACTTGCAAAACTCTGAACTTTTGAGCTCCCCAAAATGCACGTGTGTGTGTGTGTGTGTGTGTGTGTGTGTGTGTGTGTGTTTGTGCACGCAGGCAGAGCTATTTCGGTAGGAATTTTTTGTTGTTATAATTTTAAACCATAATCTCGCCGTCTCTCTCGTGCCGCGTTGCAAGCACTGAGCGGCCCTCTTTAGAATCGCGTCGCCAAGAGCCGCAGCAGAGGCGCTGCCAGCTCTATTTATTTACGAGCTGCCTTCAAAGCCTCCCTCTCCCCCTTCTCTCGCTGGGAACCACCATCTCGGAGCTCGGGTCACCTCTGGGACCAAGGAGTTTGGGGGCACGGGCGGGGGGCCGGGGAGCCCCGTTCTTGTGGCAAACTTTGCCCGAGCGTGGGAGCGAGGGCGCGAGCCGGGACGCACGGGAACGCGCGCCGCCCAGGCCGCCGCCTCCGCTGGGCGCTGGCAGCCGGGGCCTCACCTCTCTCCGGCGAGGTGCGGGCTCCCTGCGCGGCCAGTGGGCGGGGCCTGGGCTGGCGGGGGCGGAGCCAAGGGTGGGGGCTCGGGCTGCTATATAAGGCCCGGCTGCCGCTTTAACTTCGGACTTGGGGTTATTTATTTGAGACGCGCCTGGACGGCGGAGGTTGGAGGCGGCGGCGGCGGTGGCTGCCGCAGACGGTGGTTAAAAAAAGGAGGAGGAGGCGGCGGCGGCGAGGGATGGGAGCAGCCAGGCTCCCGGGCGCAGGCCGGAGCTGCCCAGCTTTCCCGTGGCTGTGGGGGTGCTGAGGAGGAAGGGGAGCATCCCGGGGGGCCCGCAGCCGGCTCCAGACGCGCGGGCTGGGCTTTTTGTTCGGCTGCGCTCAGCGCCTGGCAGCCGGAGCGAACAACTCCAGTTCCTGCAACAACCCACCTTCCTGCAGCCCGGCGAGACTTAGGCTGCTGCGTCCGTCCTATTGTTCAGACACTTGCCGGGGGCTCCCGAGCGGCGGTCCCTGCCATCGTCGCCGCCTTCCCTCTCCCTCCACCTTCCTCCCGGGAGCAGGAGGCGCCGAAAGCAGCCGAGAGAGGGTCTGGGGCTGGCAGCAAAGACCGGCTCCCAGACCGCGTCCGCAGAGTCAGGTGCAGCGTCCGGAGCCCAGCAGCATCTCAACGTCGGTGGGTGGACTCTCCCGGTGGCCGTGGGAGACCGGATCCAACGCCTGAGAAAACTTCCTGCACTTTGAGGAGGAGGATCCATACTTGTAGGGGGCTGCTTAGGGGAGGTGGAGAGGCTGCGCTTGCCGGGAGCTCCCTGTTGTTTCTCCCACCTCTGCCATCAGGTGTCTGCTGCTGAGCTGCCGCGTATCCGGGAGACCAGAGGGGCTGACACTCACGCGTACACCCGACTGCCATTCGGCGGTCGCCTGGGGTTTGCCAGGGATAGCAGATCCCATCCTCCCGCCATCCACCTAGTCATTGACCAGGACGCCCTAGCAGCACTGCCATCGCAGACACCTCTACCTGGCCTTTGCTTTTCTCCTCCTTCCGGCCTGCCTGCCTGCGAGTCCTGCCCGTGCCAATTCCCACTGGTCCTCAACTTGGCCTCCTTGATTTCCTCTGCAGGGGTGCAGACTAGTGGATATTCCTGCAGGGCTGCAGCGCTCCGACTGCCCTTTTGTCTTTCCGTGTGACCTCAGGGGCAGGCCTTGGTGCAGCGCGTCGCCAAGGACGCCAGGCGGGAGGCGGGATTGCTGAGACATCCTTCATTGGAGCGCGTGTGTGTGCAAGCCATCCCTGGCTGTCGGGAGATTGAGAAGACCGGTCCGAGCTGCTGCTGAGTGACAGGAGAGGAGAGGCACTGTGCGCAGAGCCCTCCGCCCCGCAGCGCCTCCCGGCGCCCCCAGGACTGTCTGAACACCCGGTGCGCCCCCACGCGCCATGCCCAGTATCTCCGCGCGCTCTGCTCAGGACCCACGGGGCTCTTGCGCCTTCTAGCTTCAGGGAGCCCACTTTGATCCGGGCCACCCTTCCTGTTGAGCTCCCCTCTTCTGTCTTGCACTTCCCCACTGGAATCCGATCTGCGAGACAGTACGCGGGATCTGAAGTCCTACCTTGTCCACAGGCAACCAGCCCCTGCATCTTCGAGATCACTAGGAGTCCAGGCTTTTCTTTTTTTAAACCGTCAAGTTGATTCTTGCGAGACACAAGACGCGCTATCTCCGCTTGGCTGTTCTCAGAGACTCCTCACAGACCTGGCTCGGCCTATTGATCTTCAGGACCTAAACTTGCCCGCGGATCTGTGAGGCTAGAAAAGCAAGGCGTGGAGAGGCAGGGGAAGGCTAGCCGTGTGCTTCTGCCAACTCTACTGCCTTCTATTACTGTTTTAGTTTATTTCTGTACACACTTCCCGGGTACTCTGGGCGGCTAGACCCGAGCCAGGCACTGGGCCTCGGACACTGCCGGGGTTCGCTGGGAACAGAGAAGCCCCCCAAAGCGAAGAGCCTGAAGAAGATGAGTGGCGTTGGCTGGCAAACACTGTCCCTGTCGCTGGGGTTAGTGTTAGCCATCCTGAACAAGGTGGCCCCGCAGGCGTGCCCGGCACAGTGCTCCTGCTCAGGCAGCACGGTAGACTGTCATGGGCTGGCACTGCGCAGCGTGCCCAGGAATATCCCCCGGAACACCGAGAGACTGTGAGTACAGGATATATCTCTGCTCGCTTTCCCTTCACTCCGCATCGGGGTGTGACATCCCTAGCGTCCAGTCTGGAATGCCCATGTCGCGCAGGGACCAGTGCCTGGGAAAACACTCAGTGGCTCTCCGGCACCAGTATCCCAGGCTTGGGTCCTGCCAGAGGGCGGACTGGAGGGCACAAAACTGGGAGGAGCGGAGGGGCGGGTCCACAGGGAGCTCAGGCAGCTGCCACAGTCCCCTTTCCCTGCTCTCCTCCCGCCACTGGCCACCCTTGTGTGCAAGTTCCTTCTGGCTAGTGAAGAAAGGCAGTGGGGGACTAGAATTCTGGGGCTAAAGGTGCGACTTTTGTTTCCCAGACTCTGCAGACCCAGTTACCTTGCCATTGCAAGCAGACACTCACAGGTCCTTCTTGGGACCTTGTCGACTCACACTCATGCGAAGGGGTGGCAGGATTGCTCAAAAGAGACAAACTGCCGCTCCTCCCGGGGGCTTTGTGTCACATGCCTGGTGACCAAAGGAGGAGAGATGGAGTCTTGGGGCTCTCCGGGGCACTTTTCTGGAGCTGCGGAAGGATGGGTATCTCAGGACATCAACAGCTGGTGCAGCGGGAATAAGCGTCGCGTCCATTCTGCGACTTTCCAATGTCCCTCACTTCTACAGGGAGGAGGGGGCGGCAGCGCTAGTGGTGCCCAAGTGACTCCACTGAGCGGGCGACCGTGGAATGGACTGCGTCCCAAGGTTTTAGTAAAGTTAACACCGGTTCTCCAGCGGGAACCTGCTGAGCCAGGTCGGACTGCTTTGATGACCCCGGTGGCCTTCAGCTATCCCTTCCAACCCTTCCCGCTGCGCCCTTGTGCCCCGGAGCAGCTTTCTGGCCGTCTCCGCTCCCCTTCTCGCGGTGGCAGCTGCTCAGCCGGCCCCTGGCCGTGCTCTGCTGGCCGCAGACATCCCCGCCTCCTTGTCTGGGCGAGGCTCTAATGAAGAAGTCACTGCAGACCCAGGGTTGATTGCTCTTGCGCTTCTGGTTGAGCACTTCCCGAGTTAGGGAAGCGGAGCGTGAGGCCATTATTGTGAAGCTCAGGCCTCCTCCACGCACCTACCCCAGAGCCCAGAGAGCGCCCCGTCCTCGCGGTTGAGCGTGGGTCCGGCGCGCGGCGCCGCGAGAGCTCTCCGGTGGCCTCTTTGCCCTGGTGTGCAAGGCCTGCGTGTGGGCGTCGGGGAAAGGAGCCCCCCACCCCTTCCCCGACGGACTGAACTTCTGCAAGAAGTAAGCAGGGCCTCCCCTTGCCCTTCTCTTGATCCAGCGCAAAGGCCCCAGTCTAGCACGTTCTTTCTTTGCAAAGACTTCTGTAGCCCCAGCCTTACTGGGGCTACCTAAGCTCATTCCTCTGCACCCCGTAAGCCATCAGTGCTGAGCAAATTGGGCATTATCAGGGGTGTCTTATCAGAAGGTGATCTACCACATTTATGTGGAGTATGTGTAGGGATTGCTCATAAAACACCCCAGTAATTTTAGGGACAAGTCCAAGGTACTTTGCTCAGCATGGTAAATAAGGCGAAAGGAAGGCAAGCCATGGAGAATTCTGATTTAGCATTTCCTACTCTTCAGAACAGTGTAAGCACTAACTTGTCAGAAAGACTGAGGTTCCGAAATATTTGTGGCGTGCCCGTTTCTTAATAAAAAAAAAAAAAAGAAAAAGAAAAAAAATCCTTCATGAGGAATGAAGTTTTCAGGAAACCGCAACTGCTGGCTTATAAAAATTCTATCGTTAGCAAAGTACACACTTTAAACACAGATTTCAAACGTGAAGTTTTAAAGTCCAAAAATAAGAGGACTTCCAGGAATGAAAGAACACATTTCGGAAGCCTCCGAAAGGCTGGTTTGGACTGGAAGCCATGCAAGTTTAGATCTCGGTGCGAGGAACCAGAAATGAAGACTGACTCGGGAAGGAAGTGGTGCTGAAACTGAACACAAACGTCAGGGCCAAATACTCTTTCCACTGTCGCCCCCACTGAAAGTTTAAACTTTACAGACACAGTGGGGATCCAGGGGCTGCTAAGGAAGAGTTCAGCTTTCCAACCAAAGAGAATTGTGGGAAGGTAAAGGCCCCTGAACGCTGGCCTTTGAAGTGAGGCTCTTTCCAAGCACTTTCCTTTATTGGCCTAAGGAGGTTTGGCCACCATGCTACCCACCTCCATAGTGTTGGGAATTCTAAAAATTTCTCTTTGCATTGTATGAGAAAATGTTCATTAAACTTTCTGAAGGATTCTCCTTGGGGCATGGGTCTAAAAATAATAGCAAAATTGAGGAATACTTTGTAAATAAATACCCACATTCTTATAAAAACCCATGTCAAAAGCACCACCCCCACACAGGCCACAAATGACGAAAGAGATTGTTGGTAAGAACATCATCATTTAATTCCTTGCCATGTGTCATCAAGAATTTTGTTAATGTGAGACATTTATAAAGTATTATTTCAAAGGCTGCCCCTTATCTCTCCCACTTACTTAAAAACCTGTTTCACTAATTGAATTATTGTGTCTTAAAGTGCCAACATGATTTAAGTTTTACTTTGTTTAACCAAATATGATAAAAAAACATGGAACTTTCTGTTTATGCTGTTCTTATTTCCTAGGGATTTGAATGGAAATAACATCACAAGGATTACGAAGTCAGATTTTGCTGGTCTCAGACACCTAAGAGTTCTGTAAGTGAGCTCTCCCTCTGTATCTTGGTTTTGTTTGTTCTTAAGATGGTGTATTTAGAATCAGAACTGGTATCAGTTTTAATAACCATTCTAATGACAAAGGTATAAAAAATTAAAGTCTTCATAGTCAGTCACGTTTTCCACTGCACTACAACTTTTTAATAAAAATGTGTGCCTTTAAGATTGGAGCCTGTAGGGATAATATGATTGAAATGACCTCTGATCTTTGCTTTATTATACTCTAAGTGCTTTACATATAAAAATGTAGAATCATTGTTTTTACAACAGAAATAAATAATGGGTGAAATCTGACACTTTGGGGATTTACAATTAACTTGGAAAGTTTTGGTGGATTTGTATTCTATTATCAGTGAAATAAAAATGTTCAGACTTCTTTTTTGCCAAGAACAAGTAGGTTTAATTTTTAGCACTACAGTTAAGCATTCCAGCTTTGCTTTGAAGCAGTATTTTTTGGGGAAGGATTATATTTCAAATATATTAGTCTCTTTTTGAGTTTTCATTCTTTATATTTTATAACTTTGTAACTAACATATAATTGTTACAATGATTACTTCTCTAATTAATGGGTTAAATTAGCTGTGAGTTAACCATCACTTGATAGATAATATTACGCAAATTTGTGTTACCACCACAGAATTGTAAATATTTACCCTTAGTGACCATATACTTTTGACCATTATACATTCAGTATTCAATTTTAAAGACATATTGTGGCACTTATGAAAATTTCCAACTGCTAATGTGCATCATAATTCAGAATTTAAGTATCCATGTGTTGATCCCTTAGGAGCACAGTTGAAGGGCATAGTGTGAGAAAAAACCCCTCTTGAAGCTGTAGTGTGATGGCTCTTGAGCTATACTGTAGTTTTAGTTCAGGTTTTACTTTGAACTAGTAAATTATGTCAGAAACACCCTTAGTATTTCTTAAGCAAATGCTTTGTGATCTGAATTCTTCCTCTGCTCTCTGAGTTCTCTCCCAAACATCATTATGAAATTTGCTAGTGAAGCTCAACTCAGAGCAAAATTAAAAATGAGGGAGGTTGAAAGTTTTCGATGACTGAGTGGAAAACTCTTTAGACAGCAACATTAAGAGGCTTGCTATATTTTGCATTTCAGTCAGCTCATGGAGAACAAGATTAGCACCATTGAGAGGGGGGCCTTCCAGGACCTTAAAGAGCTGGAGAGACTGTAAGTATTTTAAATGCCAAACTCAGGATCATGTGACTGTATTTTTAAAAACCTTTGAATTTCAAGGATTATGTCTTTAATTTCATGTCTTAACTATTTAAAGTTTACAGAAAAGAGAAAATGAGGAAGTGGTTTTTAGAGTTAACTGACAAGTAAGAGTTTCTGAGTAAAGAATTTGAATTTGTACTAAAGCATAAAAGTTCACATATACTTTCCTGAGATACTTATTGCCTTGATAACCACTACGTTTGGTACTAAAAAGATGTGCATGTGTTTTTTAAAAGTTATTATGATATTTTATTTCCTTATTCAGAAATTGATTCATAATTTTATTTTCATTAATGGTACATTATGGAAAATCAAGGTTTTGCTAAGAATTATCTAAGTTTCCTCACTGTTCCTCTGTGTGTCAGTGGTGACATTTGAGGAAATTTAAAACTTTTTGCTGCTGGAGATTTACTTCTTTGATATTTAATACATATTGTGAGCATTGCTAGTAATGGTCACTCACAATTTTATTTCATTTTTTATAGTAGCTTCTAAAATATTTCTGCTGGATAAAAATAATGTAAAGATTATTAAAGTAGGAACTGTGTGGACAGTCAACACTGGCATTTTTTCCATGAAGCTTAAAGGTAGACCATACATTAAGCTAATATTTTTCAGACACATATAGTTTATAACTCGATATATATTTTTTTGATCTTTATTATGTTCACAGTACCTATCTATGATAAACAACATTTACATCTGAAATCAGAAATTATAGACTTCGTAATGTGAAATATGAATGGTAGTTATCTTATGTCTTAATTATTCAAGCTCAGAAGGTTTGCATTTTCAGGGCAAATAAAAGCTGTATTAACAGTGGTAATAATTATTTTAATATGTTTCCATGCCTGGTTTAATACTCACTTTAGTAAAAATAAATTTTTTATTTCTACCTAAATATGTTCATTTTTGGAATAGCACACAGCCAGCTTCACTGGGCCCAGGAGCAATAGTTAATTCTGTGTAGCTGTCTGAAAGTGAGAAATAGCTTGTAATTTTTGGAGATATTTGTGGATATGTAGGGTATATTATTATCATCTTAAGCAAATATGGACATGCCTATTTTAATTTTCTATAAAATTTGCTCACTATAAATAAATATTACAAAATGGGGAATTTGAATGTAATTGTGGAATAATAAGTTCATTTAAAACCACTAAAATCACTACCTTGAGCTACTTCTGGGGGACATGAAAACAGGGTGAACATTCCATTTTGTTCATAATCTACCTTGAGCAGATAAAATAGATAAAAGTACACTGATAGTATTTATTTTTTCATCGAATTCATTGACATTTGTCAATATCTATTACCTAGTGAGTAACTCACAAAGATATTTTAATCCATCCATTCTAAAGTGTTGGCGCATTTAAATAAATAGATACTCTAAATGATCATTTGATCACTAAATACTTTTGTCAATAGTATACCACGAACATACAATTTGATTCTGAAATGAATTTAAATCACAGAATTCTGCCTGACTTTTCATGCAGCTCACACTCAATTATATTGTAATTTTCAATCTTTAGGAACATGAGAACAACACATATTTTTTTCATATTTTTTGAGTCACTTCAGAATTGTATTTGAACTTCTACGTTGAATAAATTAGCTTTACCTAAAAATTATTAACCGGATGCTATATAGACTGAAATTTGATTATAGTTGTGAGTGGATACTATTTTGGACTTTTACTTCCCTTGAGAATGTCACTTCATCTCCAAAGTGTTCTGCGAAGCCTAAGTCAGATGTTCAAAGTGGGAGGAGGATTTGAAATTTTCAAAAAACTAATATATTTGCAAGATTTCTTTAAATCACCCCAGCTGTTGTCCAAGAGCAAATATTTCATATTTGTGAGGAAAAGCTGAGAAAATTCCTTTTGTTTACAACTGCCAAGTCCATCTGATGGAAGTACATTGTTATCTGACAGCCAATTCATCTCCTTGGGACTCTGGAATTCAAAACCATTTCTTAGGAACATTGTGGATACACTTTCAAATATTTATTTTTAAATAAATTAAACGGAAAGGCAGTGTTACTACAAAATTCATACAAAGGTAATGTGAAGCAAATTATTTTAAATTTTGTTAGCTTTATTATTTTAAATAACAAAGTACAAAAAAATACCTTGTAAGTAACATATTCAAATTATTATAGCTTATGGTATAATACCTAAATTGTTTTCAGAGTTATTAGCCTCACCAAAATTGCTTACTTTCTCACAAAACTGAAGTGGGCAGTGTAAGAAGCAGGATATAATTAATTAATTGTTGCTAAAATATGAATGGCATAATATACATCATCTTTAATAATTTAGGTGTGAGATTTTAAATTGAAATCCAAATTATGAAAATATATATTAATGAATATATCTAACGAGTATAGTTGTAATAGATTATGTGTATATTATTATTATTATTATTGGTCTTTATGAGACAGGGTCTCCCTGTAGCCTTAGTTAGCGTGGATTTGCTATGATGACCAGGCTGGCCTCGAACTCACAGAGATCCTCCTGCCTTTGCCTCCCGCGAAAACAGAACAAAATAAAAAAATCAACTTTATTCACGTGTGATTTATGGTTCTAAGTTACTACATGTTAAAAACAGTTGTAAATGACATCTAGATATTTTGTGAATACTTCAAAGTTATGCTTTATGCTTTTCCAGATTTTATAACAACAAAATTTTAACTTCAAGGGAAAGAAGCACAGTCTGAAAGCAGTAGATAACATTGGTGCTTTTTTAAACATTCAGTTAACTTGTGAAAAACCAAGGTCATTTTATGTAGAATTTAATGTTATTATGGAATTAGAATTATATTTCTTGTAAATCAAAACATTATAGCTACAAAAGAAAGAGATCGTTTCTACTTCATTAAATGAATGTAGAGCAAAAACTTCAAATTGTCAGGACTCCCTCCCTTCTTGCTTTTCCCTCTCTGCCCTCTTTCCTTTGCATTTACCTTCACTTTCAACCCCTTTACTTCCCCTTCTCCCTCCCTCCTTTCTTCCAGTAACTCCTTTTCTGTTGTGTAGGAAACAACATCAGATGATGAAGACCTCATCTGCATGTGCTTATGAATCACTTAAAGGGAATGGGTTTTAATCATGCCTGCCCTCCACAAGCACATATTTCCTCCTGTTGGGACAGTTGCTACTGAACTGCCAGATCTAACATGTGCAGTGGCAGGATGACTAGGGTGTTCTTGTACTGTGAGCAGTACTGTTGATCTGGGAAAAAATAAAGCATTGAGAATAGTCATCTTGTACATTGCAATACCATGGCTCCTACTGTTTAGAAATGAAGTTTAATAGAAATGTAATGAAGTTTTTTTACTCGTTGATTCAATCCAAATCAATTAAGCCAAAACAAGGCACAAACAAGTAACTTACAACAAAAATCAGGATACTTGAATATACTTTTTCTTATAGTTCACAGAAGACTGAATAGATCTGCAATTCTCCATGTAAAGTTATGTATTCAATTTCTCCACTGGTAAAAAGTAGTTTTCTTTAAATTTCTTTTCTTTCTTTCTTTCTTTCTTTCTTTCTTTCTTTCTTTCTTTCTTTCTTTCTTCCTTTCTTTCTTTCTTTTTTTTCTTTCTTTCTTTCTTTTTTTTCAAATAAGATTGTAACACAGAAGTTCTCTGGGCTGGTGTGAACTTGTTCAGCTCACTGACAGTATGCACATCTGTGGTCATGCTGCGGTCACTGAGCTCTGTTCTTGTGCTTTCTACCTAGGGTAACTACCTCAGTGCTGTACTAGAGAAAATATCTCCTTTTGAAAGTTCCTTCATAGAACGATTTTAGAAGAGTATAGGAAAGATTTTGAAAAATGTAAGCGTTGTCATTTTTAGGATATTTTGATATTTAAACTAATATTGCAAAAATATGTATGTGCCTGGCTTTTGTTTCTGGGAACTGGTAGCCCGGCATGGATAATCCTGACTGTTAGGGTTTGCATGGTCATAGCAATTACCTGTATCCATTGTTAAAGGAAATGCAAAGTAGGAAGGTACTTTGGATGCTGTCCTAGAATACTAGCCTTGAGATGCTGTTTTAGGGTCTGGGGCTGAGACTGTGTGTGTGGATTATGTAGCCACTCCTGGCTTTAGGCACCTTGTAACATCCTCTGCTGAAATCCCAGATGAATATTTAACTGTTTCATTGTTGATTTTGCCTTCTAGCTACATATAGACTCTCCTCAGTTCTAAAATCAGAAACATTATATAAGACAGACTTGAGGAAACCCTGAATTTCAATTCCCTTGTGTAACTTTGATGACATCGCTTTATTTTTAAAAGCTTTAGTTCCCTCACGTTTTAAATAGGAGTAATTACTAAGGCACATCGCTTCCCACCAGCACTGCAATTGTCTACTTTTCAGGCAGATTCTCTCATTCTTTGTATTTAAAATAGCATTTTTTGTTCCTATTGGCTTTGTCATTAGATAGTTTGCTTGAAAAAAAATGAGTTATAAAAAAGATGTTAAATGCAGCCATGTAAGGAATACTTGCAAATAGATCTGCTAACTTCAATATTTTGAAGTTTCTACTAAGTTCATAAAGAGAAAATTATCATTTTCATCTAGAAAATTCTAGATCCATTTAGGGTAGAGACTCCATCTGAACAAACAATGTATTTAATGAGAAAATGCATAAAGGATTTGTTTTTGCCTAAGATAGTACAGCATTCACCATCTTGACAGGAATACACCATTCATACATAAGAGGTGACATGGTAAAGTTGGGTGAGATTATGATGTAGGCTGTAACACATGTATTCAAGTGCATAATATGTTGTAGACAGGTCTCAAGGATAGTACTGTTTATCCTTTTTTCACTCAGAGATGTTGAGAACCTGTCTGCTGAGTTATCCTACAAGCTTATATGCAAACTAATACATACATAACTTTTCTTATTGTGAAGAGAAACTAACATTGCTACTCT